CTCCAGTCTCGACCTAGCCGAGCGTTATTGTCAGGCTGCGCAGTACCAGGACACAACGCATACCTGACTCTTCCCTTCCATGTAATGATCATCCAGGCCGACCACAGCCGAAGACGGGCTGACGGAAACGGAGTTTCCTATACATGGAGTGGTCACCCGATGCCGACCACACAGCCGAGGACGGGCTAGGGAACAGAGTCTGGAAATAACAGATGAAAGTCCACATCTGAAGGTATGCCCACCTCCGGTTCCGTCCGATAAAGATGCATTAAGGAGTAATGCAGGATAAGTAAAAAATCTAGTAAAATCCTAGATATTTTTTATATTTGTATACTTATGCTGCATTACTGCGTCTAAAGGGACCCGCCCATCGCAGATCTACCTCCCCACGATGCCTTCCGATGTTTCGGACTACAGAGTAATGTGAGGATCCGTGACGTCACTTCCCTTGGTCACGTGGGAGCTGCGTGATAGGGCTGGCCTCTCAGCTAGTTGGAGCAACTTCTTCAAGCAAAGACCCTCACACAGCTCTTTTCTCTGTCAAGAAACAAGCAGTAATATGCATTAAGAAGTAATGCAGGATAAGTATACAAATATAAAAAATATCTAGGATTTTACTAGTTTCGTGGAGAGGTAAATCCATTTGTTCCTACTAAACAGTGCACATACAATGTACACGCACAGTTTACACTGAATCACATGTTTTACAATTCACTGTTTTTTATCATCACCGTGTTCACTATACAACACTGTACAACAGTCACATTTCACAATATTATTATCCCCCGCCGCGCGAAAGCGCGAAGCGGGGGATATAGTATTCACGACCGTCCGTCCGTCCGTCCGTCCGTCGGTCCGTCCGTACATCCCACCTGTTTGTTGCCGCGATATCTCAAGAACTAAACACTGGATTGTCTTCATATTTGGAACTATGGTGTATATACAGACTCCGCAGACACCAGTCGGTTTTGGTGACCTTGACCCCATTTTCAAGGTCACAGCAGGCATATCTGCTTTTGGAGTTGGAAAACGGTGTTGCCGCGATATCTCAAGAACTAAACACTGGATTGTCTTCATATTTGGAACTATGGTGTATATACAGACTCCGCAGACACCAGTCAGTTTTGGTGACCTTGATCCCATTTTCAAGGTCACAGCAGACAAATCTGCTTTTAGAGTTGGAAAACGGTGTTGCCGCGATATCTCAAGAACTAAACACTGGATTGTCTTCATATTTGGAACTATGGTGTATATACAGACTCCGCAGACACCAGTCGGTTTTGGTGACCTTGACCCCATTGTCAAGGTCACAGCAGGCAAATCTGCTTTTAGAGTTAGAAAACGGTGTTGCCGCGATATCTCAAGAACTAATCGCTGGATTGTCTTCATATTTGGAACTATAGTGTATATACAGACACCGCATACACCTGTCAGATTTGGTGACCTTGACCCCATTTTCAAGGTCACAGCAGGCAAATCTGTTTTTGGAGTTGGAAAACGGTGTTGCCACAATATCTCAAGAACTAATCGCTGGATTGTCTTCATATTTGGTACTATGGTGTACAGGCGGGGGATATTTTGTCACTCTGTGACAAATACTTGTTATCTTTACCTTATGGCAAGTGGGGTACTGTCAACACCAAGTGGTCCCTGTCTTCGCTTTTTGGAAATATTGCCTTAAACAGGTGCAAGTGCTCCTGATCCAATCAGACCGCCTCCGTGGTCTAGTGGTAGAGTGTCATACCAAAAGACGTTAACAGATGGTACTTGTTGTTACCCTGTCTGGCACTTGGCATTAAGAGGCTAAAACAAGGACTGGTGACTGTATAATCAGTATACTGTGTCTGAGTGGGGTATTCATGTTAAACTGCAACATGGTATCTCAGTGAGCTAGCACTATAAATTGGCATCAGTCCTGACTAGTACAAGCAGCCACACACACACGTGTATGCACGTCGCTATATAAGTGCAATAATCTTGAACGTGACGTTAAACCCAATTTCACCTCACCTCACCTCGCCTCACCCCATCTCACCTGATGCAATCACCCAAAGTTGAGACAATGTGTTCCTGACTGTAGGGTTGTTGTTTGATCCACTTTTCTGGCGATAATGAGCAAAATGTTCTTCCAGGGGATCTTGGTTAAATCTATTTGTCAATATAAAACTTGCTCCTTCTGTCAAAAGAAATTTTGTACATTCTACAATAGAATACCCATTAAATGTTTGTTGACTCAGCATCATCTCTCTGCGTTGCCCTCTTGTATATGGTCCTGCCCTAGTCACTATGACTGTTTCCCAATCATTGAAATATTGCAAGATTTCATGAGTCAGATATTGAATTCTCAGGTCTTCTCGTGTCCTATATGCCTCTAGATCAGGGTTCTCTTGTGTTTTGCCTCCTCCAAATTTCTAGTGTTCAGACAGTTGAAGAAACATTCATCAGCCGAATAAATTAGACAGTTTCTGTCCCATAAAGATCTTCAAGAGCATCCGCAACTGTCTTACTGAGCACTTGTGCAGCTAGGTTCACTTTCATATTTGCAAATGATGATACATGTACGTGATGTAGGGAAAATAACTCAGTTTTCAGTAAATCCAAGATATCCGATATGAAAAACAGTTTTCTGTTGGGAAACGAATATGGGTTCAAAATCCAAAAGGTATTTTGTAAATTTTCATCATGATGTAGTTCGAAGAACTTTTGGGGGGGCATCGCCCTGTCACATGTTATAAACAATGGTTTTAACAGGCATTCAATCATCAATGTTCTCACATATAAATGGATATAAAGTAGCTGCAGTCACTTCCTCTCATCCTAACAACAAGAATGGATTTCGTCAGTCTAGGGTCACTGTCACTAAGGAGATTTTCCATATGACTGATGTTGTTCTCACTTTTTTCCAGTTCCACATAGCCAACTAACTTTCTGTCTTTCAGTCTTTCTGAAACTTTAATTTTGTCTTAAAGGATCCTGACATAAGATATCCATTCTTCCTCATACATTCCACAGTTCTCTGCCTGTTCTATTAGATGCTCGGTAAAAGCCATATTTACTTCACAAGACATGCGAGTACCGGTAGTCAAACAACGTACGTGAACATGGAAGGGCAATGAACCCAGAATCTTTGGCCACATCTTAAGCTTTTTTACTTTTGTTTGCAAATATAAACAACACTTGACCATCATAGGGTGCCACCTCATTGCCGATTTGTTTTTAGAGTTTTGCATACTTAAGTTGTTGATCCCAGAACAGCCTCTGTGTACAATTTTAGTCGGGATAACTTGTCTCGACATCACTTGTGTATTTATCAACGAGCTCGTTTTCACTGCAGCTTAACACATGTCCTTTTATCTTGATGACATCAAGCACCGTCTTTTAAGTTGATCAAGTCCCACCTGAATTGATTGCTTCTCAGTTTTTTAACATGTCAATCTTCCTAACCAAATGGACTCTGTTCATTAAACTATGCAGTGCTTTCTACAAAAAAAAGTAGTTAGTTTGGGCCTTTTGATGGAAGCCTTCTTCAGCTGATTATTTCTGTATAAGTCACAGTGTTTGCATCTCCTCTTTGATAGACCCAGTAGACAGCACTTGGTTGACCGTATTGTTGACTCATACTGAATGTCACCTCTCATAGCATCAGTATCTTCCCGGTAGGCAATAGCACTGATACAACTTGCACTCTTGTTGAATACCAACACCTGAAGGCACCATAGATACATATTGAGCCTCATACTTTCCCATGCAAATGTCCCAGTTTTGACTGTAACTTCTGAATGTCTTTCACAGAATTATATATGTGTGGAAGACCGGTCCAAAAATCATGATCAGAGCCTACCTTCTTGCCATTCACATACAATGTTGGTTGTCACAACTGATTGATGATCAAGTTGAGTTTCATTGCCTGGCTAGGTTCATGATCACAAGGTTGAACATATCTCAATACATGTGCAAATAAAAACAACCATTTTTATCCTAGAATCTAGGATACAAATGGTTGTTTTTATTTGCACGTTTTGATGGCAAATTTGACATGAAACAAAGAAAACTTTTCGTCAGTAAGAAGTAACATAAATGGAAAAATTATTGAAATCATTATTTCTTGAAAAATTGGTTCGGTAGTTCTTTTTTGAAATGGTGATAAAAACCTGTAATAATTATGGAAGATTTCACTACATTATAAATCAAACCCAAAAGGTCTTGATATTTGTGAGTGAAAATCTAGAAATAAAGACATATTTTATATGATACAAATATGCCTACATTTAAAAACATTAATTGACTTTTTTCATCCTCTGCTTCATAAATTAGTGCACGAATAGGACATTATTTACAATTTTGCTGACTGCGTGTCCACCATCTTGGTTTTGAAGTCGGCACCACAAGTTATGACTGGCTCTACTTCTAAGGGGAATATTGCCAAGGACAATAGTTAAATCACAAAAACAAGTCATTGGTAGCTTTCTTGCACATTCTAAGTAATGATAATTCTTAACTTTAGTTCATGAAATGCTACGTAAGTGCTGCATTCTGTAAAAATCCAAACACAATGTCTTCGCTCTGTTGTCTAGCGATCATGAATTACCTGAGATGACTTGCATGCACACAGCTGCTCGATGAACCCCTGCTGTGGCAATTAGTGCATCTAACATCAGAGAAGACTTTCAGAGAAGGCTGCTTATCCAATGTATATACGTCTTGGGTCCGTACAGGATCCCACCGCATGCTTGCTTTGTTTGTTTCATTGTTTGTTAAATGCTCTGCAACAGTCCAGCTATATGACGGCAGTCCAGACAATCCAGTAATGGACATCATCATCAATGATCCATGCAATACAAATACGATTACCTGCAATCAACCAAAACACTTAGCCTGACCACCCAAATCATTTAATCACCGACAAGCATTGTGCAACATTATTGGTTTTCAATAAACCTTGTCAATAATCAGCAAAGCTTTGAAAGTAACATGTGTTCTGTTCCATTTCTTTGATGTAGGTGTTGGAGTGGTAGATGGCTTGCTGTATGCTGTAGGAGGTCATGACGGTCCTCTTGTAAGGAAGAGTGTTGAAGTTTATGACCCTGAGAACAACATGTGGAAGCAAGTGGGGGACATGCATCTGTGCAGGAGAAATGCAGGTGCGTTTGTTTTGACACCCAGCACAGTGCAAGATAAACTCCATTCAGTAGGATAGGGCACTACACTCAATACTGTTCAGCGCTTTGACAAATTCCAAGCCTTTATTTTGTTTGAAAATAGTGCTCACCTGGATATGTCTTCAAGTGTGTAAAATGTCAATAGTTTAAAAAAACAAAGACTGACACCATTGCTATCCAAATATTTTCTGCATCAATACTAATAACTGACACTAAAATATAACAAACTGAATAAAATATGATATCATCATGAGGAGAAACAAACATGCCAACGTCACCTCTCTCAGTCTGGCAATTTCAGATGAGAAGTTTACAGAGGAAATATGCATTTTGAGAGAAATTAAGAGGATGTTCAAACAAGGTCAATATCTAAAATATTGCTTAAAAGAAGCCATGTCTGCACCACTCCACAGTAAGAAACACCATACATTAGTCTTGCAAATACCCTACCTCTATTACATCACAACCATAAAACCTGTGATTTGGCTGTCATTACACTAGAAAATCTTCTGATTTTCAACAGAAGTCATCACCATTGTCAACTATCCATAAACACTTGTGCAAGAAATTGTATCTTGCTTCCCACACTCCATGCACATGTGCAAGGAGGGAAAAACTACTCTTCTTTCTTTCCCTTTCCTCCCCCCCCTCCCCCCAAAGTCATCTTGGCCTTCTCTCATTTTTTCTCCATCAAGTGTATTTTCTTCTTATCCTGCGTTACTCCTTAATGCATTTACTGCTTGTTCTTGACAGAGAGAAAGAGCTGTGTGAAGGTCTTGCTTGAAGAAGTTGTATCAACTAGCTGAGAGGCCAACCCTATCAAACAGCTCCCACGTGACCAAGGGAAGTGACGTCACGGATCCTCACATTACTTTTGTCACTTGAATAGTGAAGACCTGTTTTTTTATCTGCTCATAAAACTTGTTGAAACCCTCACATGTTTTGCTTCTTTGAGTTGATAGTCTTGTGCTTGTGTTGTGCTTACGCTTATATCTTCATACATTCTATATGTTTAAGCATTGCATAAATGTTTTGACACCTGTTGGTGTTCTTCTCCTGTTTGTGTCTTGCTGTTTCAAGTAGCCATCTTGAATATTTTACGTGGCCACGCAGTCTAGACTGAAAGTGGTTCACCTGCTGTATTTTTTGTTGCTTAGTACCTCATCATTGTCATACTATTGCAATTGTATTGTTTGTAAATGTGTGTTGTTTTATGTTCCTCGTAAACTTGTTTACATAAAACCACAAAGCTTGGAAAACAAATTATGGCATACATAATCGGATGGGGATGCATTGTGATTTTACTCTGCTTCATTGCAGATAACGAGCCATCTTGTAATAAGTTGGCGTGGGATCCCAACTTACTGTGCTTAAATTTTTACATCACCATGCCTCCAGTCTTCCAGATGTAAAGACTGTCTCCCACTTTCCCCCACAGCTTTCAGACAATACCTCCGAGTGTCCAAGAAACGCAAGCGTAGGATGTCGGACACTTCCGAGACTTCCCCCACCAGACGGGTGGCCTCTACAGCCTCCTCGGAGAGGGAATCCCCCAGCCTCTACAGCGGCCATGTTGTCATCCTGATTGGTTAACATGTCTCCTCAGAGTACTTTGACGACCACCAGCACATCAGTCTACTCGGGGGTGGCCACCACCATGAGGCCTGGCATGGCTTAGACTTACCAGATGGTGCCTATACAGTCCAACATACAGACGCCCTCAGGCTACGGCTACCAATAGGAGTAGTATAGGTAATGATGGTTCTGGACCACTTCCACTGGAGCCGGATTCATATACCTATACTGCTACTACAGGTGGCATTTTTTATGCCAAAATGATTATGTGATTTAACGATAGTCATGAGATTGGCTCTAGCTCACCAATACCTGGGGCCAATCATTGCTTCTATTAGTATAAAAATGATGATGCGATTCAACGAAAGTCGTTTTAAAAGAAATATCAATATTAATTAATAATGAATAAAATTTACTATAGCCCACGAGGATATTGGAAAGGTGTAGGAGCAATAAAAAAATTAGCCACCGCGGCTAAGGTATCTAAAGATGTGGCCAAGGATTGGTTAAAGAAACAAGCGATGTGGCAGATATATTTACCGGCACCGCGTTATATACCGAGGAAGAAGTTTGATATTTTTACAACGAATGAAGTTCATCAGGCTGACCTCTTGTTTCTTCCCCACGATAAGGTAAAACGCAAAACGTATAAATACGCTTTAACGGTAGTGGATGTGGCTAGTCGATACAAAGAGGCTGAGCCATTAACCTCGAAAGAATCAACAGAGGTAGCTAATGCACTGAGTCGCATATATACTACCCATCAAAAGTTAAGACTCACCAGTGTAAATGTAGCCACTCACTATACTCAACTGTTTCAAACCAGATAATGCCAAATATTCTAAACTTTTTACAGGTACTGTTAACACATGAACTGTTGTGGCGTAAAACCAAATCTGTAACGGTGAAAAGATTAGAGTTTTTCGTTCATTAATTGATAAAACTCTGTGAAATGTCGCACATTTTTAAACAAAATTCGCACCAAAACGCAGGTGTTCACATGCACGATAATGCACGTGTCTTAGCAGCAATTTGACGCGGGATACTCATGCAATTCATCTTTATAAGGATTGCAGTTGGCTCCTCTGAGTTAGTGGAGAAATTCTTCTTTGATGCAAGCATGGGTAGAGGGAGAAGTCTCCGTATTGAGCAACGACACCAAGCCTTGGCACTGCTGCAAGATGGCAGATCACAACGGTATGTTGCCAGACGTCTTGGCGTATCCCAATAGGCAGTTTCCAACCTCTGGGTACGCTTTCAACAGACCAACTCCGTCCAGGATCGACCCAGGTCGGGTAGGTCAAGGGTAACATCACAGCAAGATGACCAATGCGTCTTTTTGCTGTTTCTCAGGGGCAGAAACATTACAGCCACAGCAGCCAATAATGCTTTCCAACAAGCTACAGGACGACGTGTATCTGTATCAACAATACGCCGCGGATTATGTCACTACGGACTGCGGGCACGTCGTCTAGCTGTAAGACCCCCTCTTACACCACGCCACCGTCAGAACAGACTGAATTGGGGAAATGGACATTTACGCTGGGGTCCCCGCAGATGGGCAAGGGTACTCTTCTCTGACGAATCAAGGTTCAATCTGCATTTCAACGATGGTCGGATCCAAGTCTACAGACGTCAGGGAGAGCGGTACGCTGACGTTGCTGTTGTTGAGCATGATCAATTTGGAGGTGGATCCGTTATCGTCTGGGGAGGTATCACCCTGACTGGAAGAACTGATTTACTGGTACAGGATGGGAATCTGACTGGCCAGAGATACAGGGACGAGATCATCATTCCTATTGTGCTTCCATTCGTAAGGGCCATGCCAGGTCACGCGGTTTTCCAAGATGATTATGCCAGGCCTCACAGAGCTCGCATCGTGTCAGCTTGTTTACAACAAAATGGGGTGAATCGAATGGATTAGCGAGCATTATCGCCCGATATGAACCCCACTGAGCATGTTTGGGATCTGCTGGGCCGGCGTGTTTATGCCAGAGTTCCTCCCCCTGCTAACCTTCGCCAACTTCGCAATGCATTGTTTGAGGAGTGGCAAACATTCCCCAGCGGCAGATTGAACTGTTCTTTCGTGGTATGCAACGTCGATGCAATGTCTGTGTTAGAGCCAGGGGTGGTCATACCCGTTTTTAAATTTTGCAATTTCACTTTTGTATGGTACTAGCCAATACGGCATTCTGGTTCACTAATCATCAATGCACACGTCCTTGTGAACAAGGATATGAAGACCTAAATGAATGATTTTGTTATTTTGTATTGGTAGCTTTCACAAATACGATTTTCTTACGAGATATAGTGGTTTCAGTGAGTCTAAACTTTTGATGGGTAGTATATAAACGCGGACCGCTAAAATGGCCTAAGCTATTTCAAGTAGATCCCGGTCGCGAGTTTATGGGATCGGTAACTAAACTGTTAACAAAGCACGATGTCGAAATCGTCCGTGGTGAAAGAGAGGCCCACCGCAGTCAAGCTATCGTCGAAAGATTTAACAGGACATTAGCGGAACGTTTGTTTGGCTATCAGTATGGGATCGAAATGAAATCCCAGCGATTGAGATCAACCGAATGGGTGACACGATTATCAGCCGTTGTATCAGCGCTGAATAATGAAGTAACGAGATTAATAGGGAAGAAACCATCCGATGCTATTAAAATGAAATCAGTGACTTCCGAATCTTCAGCACCGAGGAGAGGCAAAGAACGAAAACTTCCGGATAGAGTAAGGGTAAGATATTTATACCAGGCCGGTGAACTCGAAGGAGGCCTACGTCGCGCAACCGATCCCATATGGTCCCTTAAGACGTATAACATTAGTCGATTGGTTACGAAAGAAGGAGAGCCTATTCTTTATTATCTTCAAGATGGACCGGGTAGGGCATTTGTACGAGAAGAGTTGTTCATAGTTCCCGACGGTACAGTATTACCACCATAACCATAAGCATAGGTATTTACACCATCATTATCAATCCATCTCTTTGTATCTAAGGGGGATAATGATCTCTTGTTCATTCTTAATCCATATATCCTATGATTGTAACTTCTTAAAGAGTTCATCTCGTGTTTGAACGTTCTACTGTTGAATAATGATTCTTTATACTGTTCGTGTTTGATATGCTTTTTTACAACATACTTCTTAACGCCCTTGGCTTTTCTTATCTCTCCATTATCGGACTTCTTTATAGAATACATCTTAGGTCTTAATCCCACATACTCCGCTATAGGGGTCCCAGCACATTCATCCTTCATCTTACCTAACACCTTTTTATTTACAACGCTGTGCAGTGGATTATCTTTTGGGTAATCGCTCGTGTCGTACATATCTATTTTTTCTGCCATATCTTTATACACATCCTCGGTTTGTATTTCCATCAACAAAGAATCTGTGTCGGTATA